AAGCCAGGTCGCTTGTAGTTCCGTCGCCTTTCAGCGGCGTGAAGTCACATGCGGTGCAGCGAACGAGCCAACGACCGATCCACAATGAGCGTGACGCCTCGAAGGAAACAAACACAAACGTGACTTGTCAATCAGGTTGATTGGGCGAGTTGGTAATACATTATGGTTTGAAATGAGGGCGCGACACGGTACTACTTAGTCCCTGTCTTGCTGTCCATGTCTAGGTAGTGCGTTCTCATTTCAAACCGACAAACGTGGCGTCTTAAAAAAGGATCACCCCTCGACATATATAGAAGAGGATGATATCGGTCTTTAGTGTTTCACTCCTACTGTCGTAGATAAGGTAGTCTAAGTTACTCTAGACCACTATTAGAACTCTTTCGCTCAAATAGAGCAGCCCTAAAAGCTTGCTGCAAATACTTTGTTATCAAGAAGCCTTGAGACTGCTGCAATTTTGGAGGTCGTGCGCAGCTTCAAGGCGGCGCTATTTGGCTACAAACAACAAGGAATAATCTGTATCTACATGACATTGGCATAGTCGAAGGGGGCGGTCAACACTCGCCCGGCCCCGGCTACGTTGCCACGTAGAAAAAAAAATCAATTTTGCACGTAACGTATGCGCGCACACATGCAAGCGCACTATCTAGTTGGTTTGAAATGAGAGCTCACTATCTAGACATGGACAGAAAGGCAGGGACTAAGTAGTACCGTGTCGCGCTCTTATTTCAAACCATCATGTATCACCAACTCGCCTGATCAACCATATTGACAAGTCACGTTTGTGTACGCACTGTACGACCCCCCCCCCCCCCCAAAAAAAAAAGGTGACACTCCACCCCTCCCCGAAAATTTTGAAAATTTTCAGTGCGCCCCTGTTACAGGGCATGAGCTTCGACAGGAGTGAAAAACAATATTGAAATTTAGGGCGAGTTGTTTGATTGCCTCACTGTCCTCTTAGAGCAATTAAAATAGTATTGAAAATCAGGACGTCACTACGAATGGAACCTTTTTAACTTTCAATACAAACTGCTATGCATGCCAGATTTTGACGGCGTTAGCGTAATGCTTATGAACGCAGAACTAAGGAGTAAACAACGTTTAAAACAGTAGGAGTGTCAACCTGGTCACTATTAGACGTCTTTTTTCCTCCCTTTGTGAGATGACAGAAATATTCACATAAATGGTGATCAGTGATTGCCACAAACGTCTGGCATTTTTGTCAGAGGAAGGGCGTCTTTGTATGGGAAGCTTCCAACAACAGAAGACGCGGGAACGGCGCCACCGAGTCCTCTCTGCAGCAGCGAAAGGGGACGTATGTGTTCGGGGAAAATGGCCTCCAGGGGGATGCGTACGCCCCGAAGAGAATTTGTCTGCTTTGGCAGTTTCTTGACGTTGAACCAGCGAGAAGCGCGGTCGTCGGTGTGGCAAGTATTGCGCAGGCGGTGAGTACGTAGTGTCCCGCACAACGAACTGAATCGGCTGCAACCCTGGGCACCCTCGTCATTTACCGAAGCGGGATTCACTCGCTGGATTTCGTGCAACCCGGTTGTGCCTTCGCGATCTCCGACGACCCCGCAGCTCTGGCCGACTGGCTCGCCCTACGCCATCTCCTGCCACTGACAAGAGCTCTCGCTGAGTGGTGCTCCGTCCTCAGACTCCTGCGACCGTGTCCTTCGTTCTCTATCCTCTCTATACTTCTTTATGTGGGTCTCTCTGTTCCTGTACCTATCTCTATTTCTATCCCTTTTTAATCCTTCCTATCCCGTTTATATCCTCCTAGCCCTCATCCCTCGTGAGCCACTGTTGAGGTGGCGCACTATGATGCAGACAGCTACAGGGCTCACTTTTATCTTCTTTTAGGCAACGTGCACCACGAGCTGGCATGGTTCGTATAGAACTTTTTATTGCGATTTTTTTGCAACCATTATTTTATTATGCCCAGCCAGCTTTCAATAATTGCAGTTGTGTGCACTGCATCCCACAAGTAGCCAAGACGCGAGAGCACGATATCTTTCGTAATATTCTTTGTGTCCCCAAGTTTCCATGGATCATGTCCAGTTATTTTGTTATTATACCGCGTTGTGTATATTTCTACTAGTAGTGTTCTTTTAGAGCATAGTTTGTTTTGTAGCTGTTCCTTTCATCGCGCGTATTTCTATTTTACCTCTTCAGTTTTGTTAGCCCTTGCCCTTGCGCTTGTTCTAATTAAATATGTTTCTTTTTAATGAAATGTCCATGTCTGCTTTATAAGTCCGTCGGTCAGACCCGAACTTCACTACACGTTCAACCCCGCACAAGTCGACCGGCCTATAAAAGATTGAATTGCACCACTTTGAGGTCATTCGGGCGTGGCAGGCCGAAGCGTAAAGTAGAATGCCTGGGAGTCTGCCGCACGCCGCTGTTTTAGATCGGCGGGGCCTCATCCGAAGTGTGTGACGGTGACAGAGTCAATTTGACGCCACTGGTGCTACAGTTCGAGAGCGAAAGTGAAGAAAGAATGTTTCGCATTCGTTAGCACTGCTTCTATTAAACCTCTCCTAAATACAAACACTAGAAAACAAGAAAGAATAGTTTGAAAATACTTCCACTCAACACTGACTCATCGATATATTTTTAAGCAAAACATGTCTTAGCGAAGTAGAGGCTCACTTCGACCATTTCTTGCTGCCTACTTAGCAGCGTACGTCTAGACACTCTCGTGGTCGTCTCTTTAGCTTGATGACTAGCAATGTTGGCATGTGACGGACGCGACTGACAAAGTCATGGCGTGGATAACAGGGCTCTCTTGTCACGCACATAATGAAACGTTTTCCGTCATTCGCGTGAGCACGCACAAAGCGGCCATACGGTGATGCGCCACAGGGCGATTCAAAATCCAGTGGGCCTTCGAGACCCGTGCAGACAAACACATTCTTGTGTCATTCGGCCTCCCAGCATTTCAGGCCAGGCACATACGGCTAATGTGAGCATTGTGGAGTGATAGCAGACAACTACCACATGATGGCAGTATGCCCTGTCATACCTAATCTTTTTAAGGGCGAAGCTCCTTACACTGTAGCTCAGTGCCTCCGTTGTAGTAGCCCCCCCTTACTTCTCACAATGTTCATCATCATCATCATCAGCCTGACTACGTCCACTGCAGGACGAAGGCCTCTCCCATGTTCCGCCAGTTAACCCGGTCCTATGCTTGCTGCTGCCAATTTATACCCGCAAACTTCTTAATCTCATCTGCCCACCTAACCTTCTGTCTCCCCCTATCCCGCTTCCCTTCTCTGGGAATCCAGTCAGTTACCCTTAATGACCAGTGGTTATCCTGTCTACGCGCTACATGCCCTGCCCATGTCCATTTCTTTTTCTTGATTTCAGGTATGATATCCTTAACCCCCGTTTGTTCCCTAATCCACTCTGCTCTCTTCTTGTCTCTTAAGGTTACACCGCCCATTTTTCTTTCCATTGCTCGCTGCGTCGTCCTCAATTTAAGCTGAACCCTCTTTGTAAGTCTCCAGGTTTCTGCTCCGTAGCTAAGTACCGGCAAGAGCCGTTATATGCCTTCCTCTTGAGGGATAGTTGCAATCTACCTGTCATAATTTGAGTGCTTGCCGGATTAAAAAAAAAATCCGCGTGTTGATGGAACTGCATTAAGAGGCCTGGGGTGCGGCCTCACCGGCAAACACCGCCGAGAACGCACTCCCTCACCAGAGAAGGATTGGCCACCCTGGTGCAGTATCTGGCCACTACCTCCCACATGCTTACGTCGAATAACTCACAATGTTCACTAGATGGCAATGCGTTGTTGCAGTACGTGAAGTGATCACTAGATGGCATGAAGCCACGCGTTGCGTGTAGTTTAAGTTTGATAGGGTGGTGGACGGACAGATAGACAGGCAGACAGGCGGACGAATGGACGGCTGAGCTGAGAGCCCACGAAGCTTCGCCCCAGTCATCATCATTCACTCCGTGGATTTGCTGTGGATTTTTTTTGTCTTTTTCATCCACTTTTCCCTACTCTCAAGAGGGGCTTGGGAGGAGTTCCTGCTCAGCTGCTCTACCCGGGACGTTCAGCGCTCCTTGGTGACCCGTGCCAGGGCGGCGATCACCACCAATGGACTTCCGGAATAGGGAGACCCAGCAAGTGCACCTGTAGTGGAACTCTGTACTTTTCTCATTAATTTTCTGTAATCATTACCAATTCAGAGGCAGTGCAAATAGAAAGTGACGTCTTAACGCTATCGTGTGAAGGATCCCGTGTTGCAGAAAATTGGGTGCCGGCGTCGATGGCGTTGACGCTGTGCGAAAAAGTCCCGATGAAAGCACAGAATAAAAAAAACTGCCACTCCTGTCATAAAGATTCCAGGTATTCTCAATGATAGTCAAGTATATTACAACACAGCGACGCCATAGAGAAAAAAAAAACATCAAAAACCCCACGGCATATCCACCAAGTGAATGATGCGTGGGCGAAATAAGGAGATCGTTTGGCGTTATACCATACATCACTCGTTACATTGACCACTCACGCATGTAAATGAGTGCCCAGCGGTGTACAGTTAGTAGGCAATATTTACTGGTCATAACTGGTATGTTGTGTTGGGTTGCGAGTTTCGTTGTGCCTTCATTATTACAAGATTGTGGTATCGAATAAAGCCAGAAATTGGCAAAGACGAGATCTGGGCTCGTTGCCCTAGTGGTTGTTGGTCGTTTTCAGTCATACGAAATGCATCGTACAACATACCGAAATATATATCGCCCCAGCCCGTCGTTGTCCGTGATTATCACCGCCATCGTCAGCGGCGGCTACGGCGCACATCGCCGACGCCAACAGACAAGACTAGACCATAAGGAGCTTCGTCCATAAAAGGCCATGTACAAGCACCGGTCGGGCAATCACAATTGTTTGTGTTGGAAATCTTCTTTGATAACAAGGACATCGATTCTGTAAGTCACAGGAAAAAAATTACTCAAATACACGTTGCGATTGGTGGAATTCAGATACACCGACGTCTTTGCAACAACATAACATTTTATTACACCGGCTTTTTTTTTTGCGTTAGCATACGCTATGAAGCGTGCCAGTGATATAGCTTGGCAAGCATTGAAGTACGTATGCCTGCGAAAATCTATTACGTTTTCATTCCTTTGGAAGGGGGGGGGCGGAGGCGATATTGTGGCAAGAACAGACCACATTGACATGACCAAATGCAGATTCGACGTTGAAGCATGATTCACAACGATACATATGTTCTTTGGGAAACACGTGTAGCACAGAAATTCAACAGTTCAGTTACACTGCGCCTATAGAAATATTCTGCGAAATTTCGTGCACGCAGGAAAGGGCTTTCTTAGCGTGGGAAATATTGCAAATGAAAAAGTTTCATTACATGTTTTTTTAAGAGCGAACATTTGATATCGCGATTATGAACGGAACATACAAGGTGAAAAAATTTAGTGAACTATAAAATGGTACGTATAAACAACTGTAATGTTGCCAACATAGTTTATCTCCACATTTTGGTATGATTATGTTTCGTAATGTTACCACATCTGTAATAAGAAGATAACAATTGAAAAAGGTTCTTTCGGTAAAGCACATAGGTAAGCGATACTACAAGTTGAGCGCACCAACTCTGAACACTTGAGCATTGTTGGAAAGCAGGCTTCGTACGCTGTAAACGAGTCCGTCCTGTGAATGCACACGAAAACGCGTCGATAGGACACGCCCGTCTCTGTTCCCGCGCTTGAACATCAGTGAGGCGAAAGCTTCTAGTCAATGCTTACAGCTGTAATATGATAAAGTGTGTGTCCGCAGGGCTCCGGTATGTTTACACGTGATCAGTACGGCGCAGCTTAGAAAAATTCAGTAAGATGGCGAGACACGTATGGAGTACTCCCGGAATCACGTCCTTCACATTCACGATCGATACACGTACTGCATTGATAACGTATTGAAAATATGCACGAGTGGTAAAGGAACATCGATGAGACACTGTGGTTCGCACTGTCGCAGTCCACAACCAATTGATCATGGAGATTGAGCTATCTGGCATTGCGAGAGAAACATGGATGAAGAAGAGAGAAAGAGAAATACAGAGCAGTGTTATGGGGGGCAGCGTGAAAAAGTGTTTTCTGCGGTTCAGAGTGGAGATAATGCTAGAGCTGTAAAAAGAGATACGCGATGACGCTATTGTTACGAATATTATTAGTCGGTACCTTGCATCGCCTAAATCAAGAAGATTTTCACGCAAACACGAAATAAGATGGGGAGCATATCTTCCAAAACATGTGCCACATAAGCCAAGTTATGAAGCAGCCAAGAAAGTACAACGTCTAGCACACTGGAAACTGAAAAGCCAATCAAGTATCGCAACTTCGTTTTAACGTCAAAGCCTACGCGATGAAACATCAAAGATATATAGACGATAAATGTTCGTGCAGTTTGTCCAATGTAACAAGTGTACAACAATTCAAAAAGACGAGTAGCTGTCCTCGTTTTTTGCTCCTCTATGGAAGCAGCAGCATGTCGAAATGGATGCAATGCATATACGTATACGCGTATGATGTATGGGGCGGGGTTGTGAGGCTGGCAGGAATGCTCCGTTAAAGATCGTCGTGCGGCACTTTCTTGAGGCCACAGTTTCCGTTCGGGTAGAGGACGTAGTGCTGCAGCATGAACACCACGTCGAACAAGATGCTGATGACGCCAAGGCCGAACTTGGTGAAGTTCCCGAACAGTGACGACCAGTCATCTGCGAGAGAAGAAAGTACACAAAAAAGCGGGTGACGCCCAAAGCATTCTCCGTGTTTTGTAAAGTTTCTAACGTGAGCTGCTAGAATAAACTAACCGTTCACATTCACACTGTCGGTTTTTATGAAAGGGAACACGCAAGCGCGCGGCCTGCACGCTCCGGCGGCTGCTGGCAGCGCGTTCAAGTGGAAGCTTGAACAAGTTACCAAATAGTATAGTACAAAGAGGCAAATATGGTGATTTCGCTCACAGGCCTTCGGTGTCACGAGCTTGTGATCACCGTAGATTCAGCGATCGTGCAGCATGTCAACTAACAGGCAAAGAAAGTAAAGAAATAAGAGAGACAAGAGAGAGAGAGAGTGGTTTGAAGATAACTAAGCGTACAACACGTTTTAACGCAAAGTGAGCGGTGAGAACACAGCACGCACTAAAATATGAACCATCTGCTAATGCCTGTGAAGAAGGAGCCCCCGCGAGTCGCAACCACGCAGGACCCCTCCCGGCAGCTCAAAGAACGCAGCTTCTGCTGGCATGGTTTCTGAGATGGCAGGCGCACGGCATGTAACCCGCCGCAAGCCCGCCATCTCGGAGGCCATGCTGCGGGAGCCACGCAGGTCATCCTTCCAATGAGGCGGCGATCGCAGGCCGTCTTCGCACGCTTTCAATTGCACATAAAACATGCGACGCGCGGCGCGGTTATCGACCTATAGGTTCTTCTTTGAAACCTCACGGCAACGGCGAAAATGCGCATGGAATGTCCATATATTTACTATCGCAACAAAAGCGAAAGGAGTGACTTCGCGAAAAGTTTCTCATGCCAAGTGTTGTATAAAAGGAGAGACGGTTAGCAATCCCCTTGATAAGGACGGAATGGCCCCTGGGCCTCAACACACATTCGGTTAAGGCACAGCAGCTTACTTCTCATGCCAAGGATCGCGGCGTGGCCTATAGGCTAGCGAAACATTAGGGTGTAGCATTAGTTACTCTGTAGAATTGCGCCATGTTGTCGAATTCGCCATCTTGTAAGCTCCCAATGAGCCACATTGTTGCTATATGGCCCATGATTGGCTTAAAACGCGGCCGTTACATAATTTAACGCCATGACTGAACTCAACGGTGCCAAAAAGAATGTTCTTCGCCTATTTCCTCTTCCACGGTTTTAGGTATATTGAGCAAAGGATTCCACAATTATGTGCTGCGTCGGTCAGTGGGAAGAGATATGAACTGTTTCAGGAGCGTGGCTGTGAAACAATATCATTGCAGGACATTATGGGCAGATAACTTGACACATAACTGAGGCTTGGAATATAAGCAAAAATAAATAAAAAAGGAACCATGCACCAGCATTCCGTCCGCCACCTTGCAGCAGAAATAATACATTAAAATGGGTAGATGGTTATTCTGTTTGTTGTTTCACTCGTTGCAACTTCGTGCAGGTATATACTTACTATAGGCTCATTAACAAGGGTTGTCGGAAAAGCTCGAAAAGATTTCGAGTTTCGCCAAGCTCGGGCCATCCTCCATATAGCTCGCATGTACATGTGTGTGGGTGCATAGAGAAAGAATGAAGTTTTTTCTCTATGGTGTGTGTGTGTGTGTATGTGCGTGGGTGCGTGCGTGATCTACACGCGTGATTAAATTTCAGTTGGGAGCTCGGCGGGTGTGTTGCTTGGCGATTTTGGCTTATTCGTGGAGTCGTTAAATAAGCATGTTCCAGATCCTTAATACTGTGGATTGCAAGGATTTGGCTCGATACGATTCGCGCCACTATCTATTTGGCTGTATAAAACGGTAAGCAAGGTATCGTGCTAATGTTATGCGGCTTCATCAATCACGTCGCCGCATTGTTCTTCGAAATGTCGCCGCCAACGAGCGCCAGAACAGAGGTGGCTGGCACGAGAAACGCTGGGCATCTGTTCAAGCGGGCTCGACGAACGACGGAACGCAGCTGCCTGCACCTCGTGATCTATACCTGCAGCTTTCGTATACACTTGAACCGATCCTCGTGACCTGCAATGCAAAAGCAACGCCAGCGCACACATTTTGACGTGCACCGACGGTGGGTGTTTCGAGAAACGTCTGTGCGTGGCAAGTTAACACGGAAACGAACGCACAAAGGGTTTCGTTATTATGGCGCATATATCAGTACACACGTATCGAAAAGCGGGAACTTGGGGCTGAGTACTGGCACATTTGCAATGACGTGACGCGGTCATCACGCGCAATTGCTCATAGCAGTCGCAATATATATATATATATATATATATATATATATATATATATATATATATATATATATATATATATATATATATATATATATATATATATATATATGACTGCGCGTTTCACTCTGTGAGAGTTGTATACCCTTAAAAAAAGTATCCGCCTTTTTTTTTTTTTGCGAGATCTGATTTGTCAAATGTACGGCTAGCTTCAGAGACGCACGCAAATTCTCTATCGGGACTAGTTTCATCGGGCAGTCGCGTGTTAGACTCAAAGGAGCGTTAACGCGTCTCTTTAGGAGAGTCGTATATACGCGGCAAGCAAACATTCCCCTGAAGGAGTAGCACATACTCTTTCTTTTTCTTACAGTGCATACAAGAAGCACCGTCTTCAAGCCCCGACCCTGCTTTGCAAATACATATTCAATGCTTGTGTCACCACAGAGCAAGGACCCGTTTTTACAAGCCGCTTTTCTCGTTATGCGAGCGCAGTTTCACCGCAGTAAATTCATGTGCCAACTTCTATTCCAGCAAGCATGCAGTCGCCGTCAGTTTTCCCGGCGTAATGTAACGGGAATTCAATCGGGCACGAGAAAACAAATATCTAGCCTTATGCGCACGGGAAGAGAAAGAAAAAAGAGTTGCCCTTTAAGAAGGCATGGTAGTTGGCGACCACAATTAACGGTGAATTAACGCATCAAGGCAGACGGCTGCTGCAGAGTGGCATGCCGCGTACGAACGAACGACATTAAACGGAGAACGGAAGAAGCATGCAGTGCCATGTTGGCTACCGTCAACTTTTTTTAAAGACAATAAGGAGCACTTAGATTACCGTAATTGTAGGCGATGATAAACATCTGCAGCATGCTCAGGGTTCCGCCAGTGAAGTCGAGGAGTATGTTGCCGATACTCCAGCCTAATGTCGACTTTCTCCTGAAGTTGAGAATTGCCTGCAACGGGGGAGAGAGTGAAGTATTCGAGCATCACGACCACCATCGACACACTCGACTGAGAAGAAGAAGAAGATGGCTGTTGCCTTCCGGTCACCTTAGGCAAATACACGAGAGACCGTGCGACTCATTTACCTGCGGGATGTACTTGACCAGGGTGATGACGAGCTTGCAGTAGGAGAAGTAGTAGAGGTAGAAGAGCCAGGGGCTGCGCCAATGGCGCCCCGCGGCGAGCGTTATGATGCCGTAGAGCGCTGCGCCGATCCACACGATGCCCAGGAGTACCCGGGCAGCCATGGACATGCGCTGGTCCTTCCTCTGCAATATCCAATGCATTGATTGCCGTGTTTCGCCGATATTCCAATTACACCGCCGCCTCTTAGGACTGCCGGTAGTCGCCAAGGTTCAAGCATGCACGTGAATAGAAGCACGTGAATAGATGACACAGCGTTTTGAACGCTGATTGTGGAAGCGCCAACAGGATGCATTAGCTATAGATGTTGCAAGTTGATTTCATTTGACCCACATTTATGCGCCAAATTAAGCTATAATACTTAGAGTAATTAGACTACAAATTAGAATGGGTTCAGAAGGAAACCAACTACAAGGTGTCCGACGAAATTTCGACGACATATCTGCGTGCTATGTAAGGGGAAGTGATTTGAAAAGAAAAGAGAAAAGTGAGCCCCGTAACTTTTTCTCAGGGGAAAGACACCTCAACAGTAGCTCACGAGCGATGAGGTAGAGAAGGGAATAAAATGATATGATGAAAAGGTAGAGAGAGAAGAAGGAGAGAGCGAGGCGCTGGGACAGGGAGCGACGGAAGTAAGGAGAGGACAGGAAAGATGGACACAATTGCAGGAGTCCGAGGACGGCGCACCACTGGCGAATGCTCTTGTCGGCGACAGGAGGTGGCTGGCGTAAGACCAACCCAATCGGTTAGAGCTGCGCCGTCGTCGAAGATCGCGAGGGCACAACCGGTCGGCACGGAATCCAACGAGCGAGGTAGTACATTATAGTACGGTGTTATTGTATTCCATCGCAGTATACCACTAACCGCGGTTGTAAATCCAACCAATGATCGTGTGCTCCGCAGCACGACACAAAGATCGAGGCGTGCCATTTGCATATCTGAGACAAATCTGCGGTCGCGACGGTATACATTCATAGTTTCACCACAGGCGACAGTGGCGTAGCCAGAAATTTGTTTCGGTGGGGGCACTATCTTGATCCGAAGTGGAGGCTGGGTATAGGCGAGTGCGTTCGAGCTTTATTTTGTGCACTGTGTCCCATGACACAGAAAAAAGTTCTGGAGGAGGACGCGTGTGGCGTGCCACCCCCTGGCTACGCCATACCGTTACGCGACGACACAAACTTTCGCTGAGCAGTTTCATGAATAGGGATCGAAGGCGGAGGTTATAGTAACCGTTGACGTAGAGACAGGAGGCAAGGGCACAAACACCAGCTACATCAGCGCACAACTCTAACCTAACGACTTGATACTTTATTGCTCTAATTAACCACCAGAACTGCTGCACCAATAAATGTTTTTCTGCCCCACCGCGGTGGTTTAGTGACTAAGGTACTCGGCTGCTGACCCGCAGGCCGCGGGATCGAATCCCGGCTGCGGCGGCTGCATTTCCGATGGAGGCGGAAGTGTTGTAGGCCCTTGTGCTCAGATTTGGGTGCACGTTAAAGAACCCCGGAGGTGGTCGAAATTTCTAGAGCCCTCCACCACGGCGCCTCTCATCATCATATGGTGGTTTTGGGACGTTAAACCCCACATATCAATCAATCAATAAATGTTTATCTTACTTGGAGAAAAGTAGATAGTCTTGTTTCCTTTACTCCTCTCGTGCAGCGCGATTTCGTCAGATTGCATTAGAAGGAACGCCATAGAGAAACACTCACTTCACGAAAAGGAGCGATCACGGGCAGCGTCAGTGGGGCCCGTCCGGGGAGCGACTCACCTCGTAGAAGTAGCACTGCAGCACCGTTACGAAAGTGGCGAGCGACGCGTGCAGGCCGAAGACAATGTCGTTCACCTCCACCGGCAGAACGCCCGTGGGATGCCGCGCGTAGTACTCGCTCTGCAAAGACCACATAGTCGAAGAATGAACGAACGAAACAACTTCATTTAGTCCGGCGAAGTTGATGCGGGGTGGGCCTCAGCCCCTGCCGCGTGCCCTTGGGAGACGGCGTCTACGTGGGCTCACGGGACGGCCCAGAGTTCTAATGCGGAGCTGAGCTCCCTTTCTCCACGCCCTATACGTTTCCAGGCACGTGGTTTCAGTGTGTTTCTTTGCCGTCCAAGTTCGAGCACTCGAACTCGAACACATCATCATCATCATCATCAGCCTGACTACGTCCACTGCAGGACAAAGGCCTCTCCCATGTTCCGCCAGTTAACCCGGTCCTGTGCTTGCTGCTTCCAATTTATACCCGCAAACTTCTTAATCTCATCTGCCCACCTAACCTTCTGTCTCCCCCTAACCCGCTTCCCTTCTCTGGGAATCCAGTCAGTTACCCTTAATGACCAGCGGTTATCCTGTCTACGCGCTACATGCCCTGCCCATGTCCATTTCTTCTTCTTGATTTCAGCTATGATATCCTTAACCCCCGTTTGTTCCCTAATCCACTCTGCTCTCTTCTTGTCTCTTAAGGTTACACCTACCATTTTTCTTTCCATTGCTCGCTGCGTCGTCCTCAATTTAAGCTGAACCCTCTTTGTAAGTCTCCAGGTTTCTGCTCCGTAGCTAAGTACCGGCAAGATACAGCTGTTATATACCTTCCTCTTGAGGGATAGTGGCAATCTACCTGTCATAATTTGAGAGTGCTTGCCGAATGTGCTCCACCCCATTCTTATTCTTCTAGTTACTTCAATCTCGTGGTTCGGCTCTGCGGTTATTACCTGCCCTAAGTAGACATAGTCTTCTACAACTTCAAGTGCACTATTACCTATCTCGAAGCGCTGCTCTTTGCCGAGGTTGTTGTACATTACTTTCGTTTTCTGCAGATTAATTTTAAGACCCACTTTTCTGCTCTCCTTGTCTAACTCCGTAATCATGAGTTGCAATTCGTCCCCCGAGTTACTCAGCAATGCAATGTCATCGGCGAAGCGCAGGTTACTAAGGTATTCTCCATTGACTCTTATCCCTAACTGTTCCCATTCTAGGCTTCTGAAAACCTCCTGTAAGCACGCGGTAAACAGCATTGGGGAAATTGTGTCCCCCTGCCTTACACCCTTCTTGATTGGTATTCTGTTGCTTTCTCTATGAAGCACTATGGTAGCAGTTGATCCCCTGTAGATTTCTTCCAGAATGTTTATATATACTTCATCTACGCCCTGATTCCGCAGTGTTTGCATGACGGCTGATATTTCTACTGAATCAAACGCCTTCTCGTAATCTATGAAGGCTATGTATAGTGGTTGGTTATACTCTGAGCATTTCTCTATTACCTGATTGATAGTATGAATGTGGTCAATTGTTGAGTAGCCTGTTCGAAATCCTGCTTGTTCCTTTGGTTGATTGAATTCTAATGTTTTCTTTACTCTGTTAGCAATTACCTTTGTAAATAGCTTGTATACTACAGAGAGCAAGCTGATCGGCCTGTAATTCTTCAAGTCCTTGTCATCTCCTTTCTTATGTATTAAGATGATGTTAGCGTTCTTCCAAGACTCTGGTACTCTTCCCGCCAGGAGACACCTCGTAAACAGGGTGGCTAGTTTTTCTAACACAATCTGTCCTCCATCTTTCAGCAGATCTGATGTTACCTGATCCTCACCAGCAGCTTTGCCCCTTTGCATGCTCTCCAAAGCTTTTCTGACTTCTTCTATCATTACTGGTGGGGTGTAATCTGGGTTACTGCTAGTTCCTATAGTATTAAGGTCGTGGTTGTCTCGGCTACTGTACAGATCCCTGTAAAACTCCTCCGCTATCTTAACTATCCTATCCATATTGGTAGTTATTTTGCCTTCTTTGTCCCTTAGTGCATACATCCGACTTTTGCCTATCCCAAGTTTCCTCTTCAATGCTTTGACACTTCCTCCGTTTTTCAGAGCGTGTTCAATTCTCTCCATGTTATACCTTCTTACATCGCATACCTTACGTCTATTAATCAACTTCGAAAGCTCTGCCAGTTCTATTTTGTCTGTTGTACTTGACACTTTCATGATTTGACGCTTCTTAATTAGGTTCTTCGTTTCCTGGGAAAGCTTGCCAGTGTCCTGTCTAACTACCCTGCCTCCAACTTCCACTGCACACTCCGTAATGATACTAGTCAGATTATCATTCATTATATCTACGCTAAGGTTGGTTTCTTCACTAAGAGCCGAGTACCTGTTCTGCAGCGACACTCTGAATTCCTGTACTTTCCCTCTCAGTGCTAGCTGGTTGATTGGCTTCTTGCGTATCAGTTTCTGTCGTTCCTTCTTCAAGTCTAGGCGAATTCGAGACCGTACCATTCTATGGTCACTGCATCGTACCTTGCCAATCACTTCCACATCCTGCACGATTCCAGGGTGTGCACTCATTATAAAGTCTATTTCGTTCTTATTTTCGCCATTAGGGCTCCTCCATGTCCACTTGCGGTTTTCTCGTTTTCGGTAGAAGGTATTCAAAATCCGTAACTTATTGCGTTCTGCGAATTCTACTAGTAGCTCTCCTCTGGCGTTTCTAGTACCGATGCCATAATCTCCTACTGCCTGGTCTCCAGCCTGCTTCTTCCCTACCTTTGCATTAAAGTCGCCCATCACTATAGTATACTGTGTTTTTACCTTACTCATTGCCGATTCCACGTCTTCATAGAAGCTTTCAACTGAAGCGTCATCATGGCTGGATGTAGGCGCGTAAGCCTGTACTACCTTCATCTTGTATCTTTTATTCAGTTTAATTACGATACCTACCACCCTTTCATTAATGCTATAGTATTCCTCTATGTTGCCAGCTATGTTTCTGTGAATGAGGAACCCCACTCCCAGTTCTCTTCTGTCTGCCAAGCCCCTGTAGCAAAGGACGTGCCCATTCTGTAGCACCGTATAGGCCTCATCTGTCCTCCTAACCTCACTGAGCCCTATTATATACCATTTAACACCCTCTAGCTCCTCGAATAGTACAGCTAGACTTCCCTCACTAGATAAGGTTCTAGCGTTAAACGTTGCCAAGTTCAGGTTCCAAGGTGCGGCGATGGCGCGGCGATGGCGTAGTGGTTAGAACTCGAACACATATATACTCAAATGTGTGCCATTGGTGCTCTTGCATCACACGCCCTACATTTATCTGCCGAATAAAAATAAAGGTAACCCAAGAGGCTTCGCCCCTTCTCTGTCTTTCTTTTTATTTGCGCTTTCACCCTCTCATGTATCACGATAACAGAGACGGACGATGATTTGGGCAAGTGTGAGTGTCTGCAGTTGTCAACCTAGTTTTCAATTAATCTGTGGTGTAGTGGTAAGATTACGCGTCTTCCAAGCTTGTAATGCTGCGTTATTATTATTTTTTTAGCTCGTCATACGTTCCTCCAACTCTTCCCCGCGTGTGACCTCGGTCGAGTTGAAGAAAGCGCCATAAATTCCTTGAGTGCAATTTTAAGGCTATGCCATAAAAATTAGAAAAAAGAAAAACATTCAGCCCTTCATAGCACAACAGCTCGAGCAAATCAATCAACCTTTCTCAAGAAGGTCTTTAGTGAACAAGAGCGTTTTTTTGTTACAGGACTCGAACTAGGAACCAGCTACTTTCCGGAGTGGTCACTCTAGGAAATGAACTAACCAGGAGGCCAACTAGCAATTGGCGGCGCGTAGGCGTATTAATCGACAACTTTAAGCAGATGGATAAAAGTTTGGGCAAATCAATTGGAAACGTGACAGTTATAACGTCGCACGTGGCTCCAGCAATGTATACCTTCGGCTGAATTGAGGAACGGAGTAATTATGCGAGCACACACGCCCGGTACACTTTGGCATTTGATGCAGTTTATTAATTAAGGCACTGTTTCCTTGAGAAGTGACGCCAGTAAGTTGCACTGTAGTTATTTCATAGACATTGAAACACACGTGAACTTTACACTGCAAGCATTTAGTTGGCATCGCGTGTATTCCAGAAGCGTGGATGAATAACGGTTTGAGTTCACCGCCACGCTTACCTGAACGACGGGGCTGAAGAAGACGCCAAGGTTAAAGAAGGAGTACGCCAGAAAGCCCGTTAGGTTGAGGCCGATGAAGTCGAAGCTCAAGCCGACAACGCTGAAACGAGGAGTGACACGAGAGCAAATGAGAGACAATCATCTGAGCTGTTACACGCATAATGGCGCTCAAACGAAGCGAACACTGTCAACGTGCGATTTATTTGTTAAGAAGGAAAAAATTCGTGAACAGGGGTCACGTGCTCAAGCCAATGTTTCGACAGGTGGGCATGTCTTCTTCAAGGCTATACAACACGTGAATTGTGTTTGTGTTACGAACGCTTTCTGCCCCTATCTTGGCTTTGCACTGCCGGTTCAGGATCGGACACATTGCAAGCTTATTGCACGTCACTTGGTGCTGTGCACTGCATGCCTCCGTGATCGTGGCTCCGCTTTGGCTAAGCGATGGCGTCATGTGATGCCGAAACGTGGAGTCACGATGCGAAAACGCATAATGACGTCATGACGACGTCACAAATTTCGGATATCTGTGACGTCATCCCGCAATTTTTGTATTCCTTGTGCTCCCACCGATGAGCCGGGACGCCGACACCCACGGTGAATTTTTGTGTTCGATGGGGCACCCGAGGCTTTCGCCTTAATGCAGTCCTGAAGGGTCAACTTGTCGGCTGTACAGCTGGTTTAACATATCTTAAGGTAACCGCGCGAAAGACGAGGTCCACAGAGGCACGCACACCACAGACGAAGCGCTTCGTATTTTCCTGTCTCTCTGTTGTTCTCGTCTTTGACGCTGCTACCATAAGATTGGAAATTTCAAAAGGTCAACGCATTCGTCAACTAGCCCTCCCGTCACACCTTGATAGCAATTACACCGGGAGAAACATTCAGACCCACCTTTTGCGCTTCCAGTTCAGGTAGATCTGCGGGTAGAAGGAGACCGACCAGGCGACGAAGTAGAGCCATCCGAACACTGCGCTCAGCACGTTGAGCCAGCTCAAACGGAGGACGCTGATGCGCACAAAGGCGTCGCTGGAACTGCGCACGCACAGAAGCACAATTAAAGCAGCACGTCTCGTAACGTGCACTATGCAAAGTATTGTATGAAATCCGAACGATATTCCAAGATGCGCGATCCATCGTAGTAAATTAGAAGTGTGGCAGCTTGGGCTAGTTGGTATGGCATGACGATAGTTATAGCGTGAGAACAAAACGACGACACAGAGACAAGAAGGACAAGAAGGACACAGAGACAGGTGTCTTTCGTGTCCTTCTTGTCTCTGTGTCGTCGTTTTGTTCTCGCGCTATAACTATCGTCATCGTAGTAAAGCTTTTGCGTACATTTTTTTCGAGCAGTCGGACACCAGTAGGCTTAATTGTTCAGCAAACTGGGTGCGCGGTTTTTAGTGCCGACCGGTTTTGCCCCTGCGATCTCCGACGACAGCGCAGCTCTGGCCGACTGGCTCGCCCTACGGCTTCTCCTGCCGCCGACAAGAGCTCTCGCTGAGTGGTGCCCCGTCCTCTGGCTCCTGCGACCGTGTCCATCTTTTCCATCTCCTCTTTACTTCCATCGTTTTCTGTCGTTCGCTGTCCCTGCACCTCGCTCTCTCCTTCCTCTATTTATTTACCTTTTAGTCCTATCCTTTCAATCCCTCCTTACCCCCATCCCTCGTGAGCTACTGTTGAGGTGTCGCACTCTGATGCAGACAGTTACGGGGCTCACTTTTCTCTTCTTTTCTCTTTAAGAATCACATAAGAAGAAGCGCGGGAGGAACACACACACGAAGTAAATTACGAACTAGCCCACCTTTCAATCCTGTTGCAATGTATTACCAGTAGGCTTATTTTAGTGTCTCACTTTTTTGCGCGCAAAAATGGCAAGGACGAAAAGCGACTCGGACACAGTCCTCATCCTTTTGTGCGCTAAACGTGAGACATGGGTAAGCGAAATGCCCAAGCATGAGCACTTTTAACTTATTTTCCCCTTCGCCTTCTAATGAGCTAATGAGGAAAGATCTAGGAGCACATAAGCACTGTCATGGCAAGTGGTGACTGGCCTGACGAATACGTGCCTCGATACGTTGGCTTCAGCGTACATTTATAGCTCGACTTCCCATCGCTACACGTCTCTTTTGAACTTCTGTCTTTCGATGATACATATGTTATCAACTGTTGAGAAGGCTCAGCATAGATTAGCTATTTGTGGATTTGACTACCGAACGCGCGTCCGAGGCAGCGAATTTCATAAACGCTAGCCAAACACCAACCTTTACTCGACTATTTTTATATGCACTCTACAGTAATACCGTATATGTAAACTACAGTAACTGCTACCAGACCACCACAGTCGACTTAAGTGGAAATAAAGGGTGCCTGATACAAGTTTCGGGCAAAGTATGAACGTTCGAACGAGTTAAAATGTAATTAGACACGAAACAGGACGGAGAAATATTGTCACATGAAAAAATAAACGCGCTAAGCCTATACTTTTACGCAACACTAACAAAACGCGCGTGATACTCGCTATCAATAGGCGATTATTCCGATTAAAACATTTGCTCTATATGATTACTAACTTGATTGTAACAGAACACACGGTTACAGAACTATATACTCCCACCATATATATACTCCCACCAAAGATATATACTCCCACCAAAGACAGAGTCTGTACAGAAACCGTACCCGTAAGAAGCCTAATTGGATACCTTGTTGATATAGCCCTGCCCTGAAAAACATAAGCTAGGCATTAGTCATCTGGTTTCCCACTGGTAATCAAGCGGTTTCGAAACCCGCGGGAAATTTTCTGAGAAAGGTATTACCTAACTTTTAATTATGGTGATCACATCATATATGGGTGATGTTCGGGGCCTCTGTGGATATGTACGGGATCTGTTCGAGCGTGCAATTTCATTACAGCGAGAACATTGTGCATCGAAGTGCGACTGCAGCCTGTAAATGGAGGCTTACTCTGTATAAATTCTACCGTCGATTTGTATCGACAAACCGAGGGCCTTACTAAAGTCTCTGGCTCTGGGACCCTCGTCTGTATATCTTAGATCCTTGTTTTTGGAAATAATAAACTTGAAACTTGAAACGAGAGGCTCATTAAATACCGATGTTAGAGTGTAGCGCGTAGTTCCGATGCCGTGCCAAAGATTTTGTTTAGCTGAAGCGTACATTGCACGCGCATTCTAAGTGATTCGCATCTATATGATCAATCTTTATCGGTCTAGCGAAGCGACATAGACACTCGTCTTGGAACACTTCGGAGTAACTATAGTTGGGAGGAAGAACACTTGGGGAACGCTATAGAACACTCGGGTGGACTCGTTAAAAGTCATGCTCGATTAAAAGAGATTTGGAAATTGTATATTTTTTTTGTAATCAGCGGAACAGTCACACGTTGGTGACGGCGGAACACGGAGTTTACCGTTTAAGAAAATGTGAAGTTTTCACTCTGGCTTTGAATGATGAACGAGCGGATCGCATCCCAACACGCTGTTGACGGTTGCCTCTGCATTCCCAAGGGTATAAATTTCACGCTTCATTTCAACCATAATTCCGTGTGGGCTTCGAAAGAGAGCAGGTAAAGTTAGCTTAAGTGCTACAGTTCATTGTCAATTCAAGCATTATTGCCCGAAAGCGGGAGATTAGCTTGAGTGCTTGCCTAATCAGCGCCTCTAGGCAGTTCATAATATCTTTTGTTCCTTCCTTTCAGTTGAACAAACTGCTGGGCTAGCTGGTCCTGCATTTTGAAGAAAACAATAGCGCAAATTAAGACGTCTTCATCAGCGCTAGTTTATCAACATTTTTATTTTTGCGTACTGCTGATCAGTTGCTTATCATCCAAACTATTGACCAGTACGCCGTTCAATAGTTAGTGGCGGCGTTTTGTGAGAGCGAAATTTCTTCAAATGCACGTGTTTTAGGTAAGATGATACCGGAGAAAGAGAGAGAGAGAGCGCGCTATTATCTACAACCCTATTGCGGGACCACGGCTCAGCACGCCAAGTAGTTTACGTTTCTGCATTGATAAGGTGGTGCATGCGTTCTATTTCACTTTCAACCTCCACGGAGTCAGTAATTTTTATCGCACTTTCAGCGTCTCTACTCACGTGTTCGTTTGAATCAGATTAAAGCGATTCTACGTTGTACAACCATAAACAATGCCGTTTGTGATGGGCTAACCTTTACTACGATATTCACGGGCTCAGCTATATACGTAGCGAGACAATGCGTTAGTAATATTTATTCAAATGAGCCATTTCTGCCACGCGGAAGAGATACTTATAGGTCCACTTAGGTCCACTTATATACCCACGCGTACGTACACCCACGAGCATGCGCTTGTGTGACGTGTGAATTCACGTATACGCGCATGCGCACTCACTCGACGTCGGGCAGCGACGCGTTGAGGTGGATCACGGCGTATCCGGCCTTGTGCGCACTCAGGTTGAGCCAGGTCACGGATCCCGGCGCGATCACGTGATGTCCCTGGAGAGTCGGCGAGCAGGTCCTCGCCCTTAGATGCAACCAGGTTCACCAGCACCGACTCGTTCCACTGGTGGGCTGTGCGGGCACGGCAAGAAAGGCTGCAGCTCGTGACGTACGACTTAGAGCTTTCTACAAATGTAAGCGTGGAAAAATGTGGCGCTATAGCGTCGGCACGACTAATGCCGATACTGCTGTTCGCTCTGTTCTTGTTTTACAATGTCAAACTCCGACGGTGGAGTCGGAGCAAGTTCGTTCCTACTGACACAGTGAGAAAGGGAGTCGAGTGTTTCGATGAGAGAGCTCGTGTGGATTAATAGCGAGAGTCGTTTCATAGGAGCAGAGCAAGTTGCTACGCCTAGAATCGGCGGAGTCGACCGGAACTCGGAGTGACGCACTTCGGGGCACCTGTCGGTAGTCGCGTTCATCCTGTTTTGGTGGCAATGACAACATATATAGTCAGAACGCTTGAGCGATTCATCGCATAGTGACGCCGGCACTGACACTGCCTCTTAAAAGCGGGAATTGGACAAAATTGAACAACCGTAGAGAATAACTGCGCGTGAGGTATATATATAGCAACTCGGTACCCGAAAGGCAGAACTTTCACTTCCGACTTGCTCCTACGTTGAAAGTTGTGTTGAAATCGCGAATATGGAGGCGTTAATCCACGCCAGAGTAAAGTGCTCGCTAGCAGAGTCCGTCGCCTGCTCCGACAACATTAAGCTTGAACTTCGTGGCTTCAAGCGTGTTTCGCGCATACGTGTCGTTTGCATTGGTGTCAGCAGACTGAGGAATGGGTGGTGGGTCAACAACATCCCGCCCAGCGAGATTTTTGTGTGCTATCTTTACGTTTCCTTAGACAAATTGTTTGTTCAATTCAGTATTCGGATGCCCCGACAAAGAAAAAAAAGCCCATAAAAAAACTTTCTTTTTCCCTTTATGCATTCATGCGAAGGCAGGCATGCACGGACATTCAGAAGAGGCAATCGGACCCACTCCGTTTCCAGAAAAACGGAAAGTTTAAAACATGCTGGCTATGACCCCAGTCGTTTGAATAGGAGTTTCAAGCATTAACGCGAACTTGAAACTATATTTGTAGGACCATAGACGTCTCGTTCTTAAATAAAAGTATATAATACGATTGTCCACAGCCTTTGCTGCATGATTATGGTCGGCAAGACGTAAAGTTTTTGAAGATTGTACGGGTGCAATCCACACAGCATTGCTGGACTCACTCGATGAAGACTTGAAATCCCGACGAATCGCCAAGTTTCCATTCCAGGTCGTGAGTAGAGACTCGGATCCGGCTTCCTTTGGCGGTAGCAAGTGCTGGGAACAAAAAACGGACAGATTTCAGACGTAGCGGAGAGAGAGAGAGAGAGGGGGGAGGCAAATGAATCTTGATGTCACTAATGCAACCTAAAGTTAGTTGAAGTTTAGTTAAGGCAAAAAGCGAAAAAAAAAGATGAGTACAATTTGCCCAGGGGACTGGCGAAAACGCATGAAAACCTGACAAGGCGTTTGCCCCCTGTGAATCTAAAATCCCACCAAAATGACACAATACTCAGTGTAAAATTAACAGTGAAAAGGAAAATCATTTTAAATAAGTTGCTATATGCCAGTCACATGTGTATAAAGAAACCAAAAACTTTGAATGTTGCGTCATATATATTCGTGTAGCGCCACAGATTTCGCTTTTTCTGGTGAAGAAATAGCTATTCAACATTAACTGCCGATAAAATGAATCTAAGCTTGCACAAATGCGTGAATCTGACCGCACATTACTGTCAGATTCACGTCTGCCTAAAGTATACCAGTGTGGAGCAGTCACGGTGGTAGAGTTGCTACATTGTTCGGACTACTGCGACCCAAAGTATCGGGTTCGATACTGGTCGCGGCAGTGGCATTTTAAACGATGGCTAAGATGCTAGAGGATCCATGCATGCACTTGGATTTAGGTGCCCGTCACTGAACATCAAGTGGTCAAAATTTCGTTAGAATATTACGTCTCTCATAATCTAAATGCGATTTTGGCCCATGAAACAACATCAATAATAATAATAATAATAATAATAATAATAATAATAATAATAATAATAATAATAATAATAATAATAATAATAATAATAATAATAATAATAATAATAATAATAATAATAATTAAAGTGGTCGTGCGGTCAGACGCAGGCACTGCTGCCTGCGTGCGATACTTAAAAACAGCGTCAGCTATATAAAACTAAAGGCTATCACAAACGACCGTCGAGATAGCAATGAACACTATATGCTTCAGAGTCTTGACGTAAGGTAAGTGACAACTTGAACACGTGGCGACTATCGTTTGTCGGACTCTCATTTTTTTTTAGTATACAAAAAACGACGTAATTCGTAGTGAACAAATTGGAATGTTTGGTTGTCTGTAGTGAGCCCCGAGTAACTTCGGAGCTCAGTAAAACTTGGACTTGTCTCACAGACAAATATTGTGAAGTTGTTTCTTTAGTTGTCCAGATGTTATGGCTCGAAATCACGATATATGATTAAACTGCGACCATTTGGGTGAGTTGATCATTCATGTCGAAATGATTACGTTGCAGAAAAAAAAAAACGGATAGTATCGCGGACAGCACTACATCCGTCGCGTCCTTTCTTCTGTTTACGTGTTTCCTGGGCTGTAACTATTTCGACGTGATTATGAGAGAAGACACAATGGAGGGCTTCGGAAATTTAAACCACCTGGGGCTCTTTAACGTGCACGTAAATCTAAGTATATACACCACCTCTGGGATTCCGCCTCCATCGAAAACTGCGATTGCTGCGCCCGCCCGGGATTCGGTTCTACGACCTTCGAGTCGGCTGTAACGCACGAATATGCGGGTTTGATAGGCTAACAATTTGGCACTGGGCCGAACCGCTCCCATCGCACAAGGCTTCGGCCGAGCGTCAGTCTGCGGTCAAATCCAACGGGAGAAACTTAAAGCTATAGCGTCCAGCGGAGTTTCGATCGTTTTGCAGCAAAGCTGCTGTCGAAACTCGGTATATAGGTTGAACCCGTTAAACTCGCATCTGGAACGTGTTTTCCTTGGCATTGCCCAGCTAATGGTAAGAGCATCCGATGTCAAAGGAAGCGTGCAGTGCAGAAACCTCGCACGGTTCATGCACCCTCGCGACCGGAAGCCTGTTCCCCTCTTTCATAGTTGGCAGCGCTCGCAAGTCCGCCCATCTGGACGGCAGCGCAGAACAGGAAATTGGGGCTCGCACAGGCGCGACGGTTCGTTAGCATATGTTGTGCGCGTTCACAGGCTGCATCATTCGGTCGAGTTGGTTTATACTGCCACGGCCGCTGTATGAAAGAGTGATGCCGAGCACAGAGTTTCCCAAAATTAACTAGAGGGCACTCTGGCGCTGCGATCGTTCAGCGACCATGGGAATGATGGGTAGTACACACATTTGCCTAAGTCTTCGTACTTGCAGGCGGCGAACCGTACTTGCGGCTTCGTTTATTGCTGGCTACGGTTTCGTTTTAAAGAAAAAAAGAAACCCTTTTGAACTTAGTGACTTGATTCGAAATGGTAAGCCTAAAAGAATAAGGTTGTGAAGCGCAAACGGCGAACATTTGCTAATTTGTGTTTTCGAAAAAAAAAAAAAAACAGCTCCAAGCCACACGAACACACACGGAGCCAGAAGCAGGCCAGAAGTACGAATATTAGACAAATGTGTGTACTAGCCATCATTCCCATGCTCGCTGAAGCGCCGTGTGTTGCAGCTCCCATAGACACTAGCGCCAGAGTTCCCTCTACTGTATATTAGGAAACTCTATGATCCCGAGGCCGCGGTATTGCTTACGACAGTGTGCAACACAGTCGACGAACACTACATAATAATCGATTATTTCGAAAGCCGAAAAAAAGTAAGTATGGTTTAAACTATATGTCTCCATGCTTGTCACAACCAAATGTTAAGCATTCATCGCATTAGAGATGCATATTTTTAACGGAAAATAAGTTGAATTGCACGACATTCCGAACTTGTCACTGACACAGCGCTACTCAAAATGCTCATCTGCAACCACACTTAAGGAACAGTCTCTCCATTACAATCCGTGAGTGCTGTGAAAAAGTGCCAAGCATCTCAATGCGCCGGCTTGCACGATGTAAATTATTGAGCACAGTTCTAAGCGCTCCGGAAAACACGCCAAGCGTTTGAACGCAGTGCCTTGCACGGGGCATACTCTTACATTGGTTGTTACGCCTGATTACGTATGCACCCAAGACGTAGCGTTAACCATTCACAACCGGAATATATAGCGCCCAGAGTTCAAAGCCAGCGTCAAGACACCATTTATACAAGCCTGTGTGGATATGTGCTGCGCTGACGTCACTCGCGGTGAGGCAGATTTGTTGTAACTGACAATGACAACTAAACCAACGCTATACGCCCTTAATAATGATTGTTTGAAATAAAGCCGGCCGATAAGCACAGTCAGCGGTCAATCTTTGACGTTACGCACAAGAAGTTTTATACCTCGTCCATATTCTGTGTACGCGATTTGCTTTGGCAATTGTGGACAGTGACATCATGGTAAAATACGTTATCACGTATGTGTCTTCTAGTAATTTATTGTGATTTATATACGCGCCGTTCTAGTTTACCGTTAGTCCATGAATGTGTATGCATAATTTACTAGAAGCTGCATACCGTAACGATGTCACTTGCTAACTTGACCTTTGCTTAAAATGGGTCAATGAATGTGGCATAATGAACGTTAGTATAGCGAAAAAAATATTGATTTAAATGGAGGAAGGTTGAACTTTACTAGGGAATTGCCTCAGGAATTGTGGAACACAATTACTTCCGACATATTGTTAACGTTTTAGAAGAACCACGTGTGCAGGAATTATACAAGATTTTCAGAGAATTCTGTTAAACTTCTCGTCGAAGCACTCGAATGTTCTAAAAAAACGGCATAGCCACGTCCTTGCCCCAAGTCGGCCCTCATGAAATCACGCGAGCACAAAATGAGCGATAGCTTTAACACACAAGTTACGCGTCTTTTAGGTTATCCTGCTGTTGCCACTGTGACTGAACGTTTAATTATGTCAAGTGCAAGCATGCGTGGTTGCAGAAAACGATGAGAGGAAACGTGCGGTCGGTATACCACACGTCCATTGCGCGTCTCACAGGCTATACGGAAAGTAGGAAGCAGACTCAGCGTTAATGTAGTTTTTACGGCTGCCAGTAAGCTATGCAAAATTTGTGCCGCGATGCAGAGAAAGAATGAGCGAGCAAACGACAAGAAGCGGACCGATATTTGTTTCGTAAAACACATTAACAGGCTCACTGATCGCCGTGCAACTGTAGTATATAATGTTCCTTTCAGCTGTGGTCGCTTGTATATACGTAGGACAGATGGGCCCCTGCATTAACCCGATATGATTGAAACATCACAGATCGCTAAACGGAGGCTCACCTTCTAATCTTTCTTGACATTATCGAGAATGTCAATGCACGCCGAAATTCGGTGAATGCACAGTTTTGTGCCGGCGTATAGGATTGAAGAAATGCGTCTGATGATTGAGGCATGGCATATCAATAACAGCGGTAGCGCAAGCGTGAGCCAACCGTCGATTAACTTGCATAAAGATGAAATCAAATACCTGAACAGTTATCTTTCACGCAGACCTACCACCTCGCGTGCCAGAGTGATAGCTTCGCATGAAGCATGGGAATGCGTAGGTCAGCTGGTTCTCGTGCCTTCTTTCTTTTCCGCCATTGTGCGCCTCTTCAGTTGTTAGTCAACGTCTGTGGTGAGCCGACTTCATCTGGTGTCCGTGTTTGTACACCCTGTGTTTTTTTTTTTTTTGGAATGATACGGTAGAAGTGTGGCAGCTTGGGCTAGTTGGTATGGCATGATGATAGTTATAGCGCGAGAACAAAACGACGACACAGAGACAAAAAGGACAGCGCTCGTGTCTTTCGTGTCCTTCTTGTCTCTGTGTCGTCGTTTTGTTCTCGCGCTATAACTATCGTGATACGGTAGACAATCACATTAGCAACTATCACTCCCTTTTTCAATCAGTCACGTTTCCACCGCTGCCGCCACTACTTGTACTTCAGTACGTGCGTAGTAAATGCTGTGAAAGTTAGTTGCTACCTTAAACCAGTAATCACCACTATTTTTTTTTTGTAAAAAGAGTGTGCGCGACTACTGCCTATGGCTGTCAATTTTCGATAAATGTCGACCGTCGGCGGCCACCGTCTCGCGCCGTCGCTCACCAGTGAGGCAAACATTTATCGCGTGATGTCACTATACGACGTCATCGTGACGTCACACAGATAGCAATAATGCGACATAATCACGACGTCCCGAATTCTGGCGTGAAATCAGGTGACGTAACGCCACACGATGGCGTTGTAGCACCCTCCGTTGGGCTGCGAACGAAGCCAGAGAGCGCGACCTCAAGAGAAGGAAATGCAGACTGCGCTTGGCGGCGGCTCCTGAAGTCACGCCTCGTGTTGCCTGCAAATCAACAGGAAACTTCTACTCCATCAACCGACAGGAAAGCGAGATCTCCAAAACAGCCCCATTAAGCTGCGCAACGAAAAATTCGTCGCTGAAGATCAACTCGATCGAACATGTTAGCAGCAAGATGAACATTGTACACCAAACTAAGAGCTCTTTTTTATTTTTGTCCGGTTCAACTGGGGGTGATTTTGATTGATTGATATGTGGGGTTTAACGTCCCAAAACCACTATATGATTATGAGAGACGCCGTAGTGGAGGGCTCCGGAAATTTAGACCACCTGGGGTTCTTTAACGTGCACCCAAATCTGAGCACACGGGCCTACAACATTTCCACCTCCATCGGAAATGCAGCCGCCGCAGCCGGGATTCGAACCCGCGTCCTGCGGGTCAGCAGCCGAGTACCTTAGCCACAAGACCACCGCGGCGGGGTGACTGGCTGGGGGTGGAGTCTGCTTCTCTTGCACCCATGCTTCCCCCCTCAAAATTTCACTTGGCTCTGCCCTGTTCATTTTTCTTTTCTAATTAGGCAATGCCTGCTAATGTTTATGGTGCGGGCCGAGGATTTGTTCATTCTTATCTCACAATAAAGAATGCTCCCTTATACATCAACTGAGAAGGAAAAAAAAAAAACGAGATGGATTTCAATTTATAGGGGAATGTCCAAGGGACCCTGCGAGTTTTTATTCGTCCTTAGTGCGGTCACAAAATTGCCACGGTACGAATGACCCACACGTATATTAACGCGCGGTAGGCTGGCAGCTATATTGGCCGGCCTCTTCAGCGAGAATGAGGAAGTTGATGTGCGCGCACTCTTGCGTGTCAGCCATTTTCTAGAGTATGCACGTCCCTGTATAGCACCTTCACCACTGCATCTTTTCGCATCTACCCGTTAGCCCAATGACAATAAGACGGTCTCTCGCTCTTGCGAAAGGTGCGCCTTAGTACGCGTTATGGGCATTGACAGTCGGTGTGCCGATACGCATATTGGCGCAGGTATACATACGCGTCTCACCTGTGATGACGACCAGGAGAACGGAGAGAACCGAACTCGGAAAGCTGCCCCGTCTCGTCCGCCCGTAGCGCATGGCTCCGACGTGTCAAGCTGCATTGACGGGTCAGAGGAAATTGACGTAAGACACGTGACATGGACGCGTGACGTAGACATATTGCGGTGTCGACAAAAGACACACGTTGCGAATTCGTCCATTCTAAAAAAAAAAAAAAATCGAGGACAGCGTTTCATTGCATTTCAAGTTATCAAAAAGTTTAACCAATAATTATAAAGATTGATTTATATGTGGGGTTTAACGTCCCAAAACCACTATATGATTATGAGAGACGTGATTATAAAGAGATGCACGCGGTTCACCAATGGCTCGTGATACGGTGAAACAGAGCAGTAAGGATTCGAAAAAAAAAAAAAGCAAGAAAAAACTTTTCTGTGATCGACTGATAGCGACAAAAAAAAAAGTGCAGAAACGAGTTCACCTACACGACAATTTAAACGGTACTTACTGACAGTATAGTGTCACAGATTGTTAAGGAGACATTTGTCTGCTGACAAGAGACACAGCCATTTACGGAGCAGCTGCTAGTACAACTGAACATACTGCGAACCTGTAGTTACCTATATCACAATATTTCGCTACCTCATGGCCAATACGTCGAGACAAGCATGTAGCGAAGGCACGCAAAGGGATCAGGACATCATGGCACCTGTCCCGCGAGTGTGCATGTTAATGGGGATTCACAAGACGATACAAAATTGTGCAATATTTGCGAACACGTAGGCGTGACTGGAAACATTGCCGACATTCATAGGTCAGCACACACAAACACACATTGGTTCACTTGGATTCAGCGTCAACAAATTTGTGTGCTTAAGCGCGCCTGACTTGCTAAAATCCTGCTCAGCTTAAAGTTTCAGTTTTAAGCTTAAAATCACCGACAGCTCAGCTGGAGTTGCTGAAAAGTAGAGACCACTCGTACTCAGACTCGCCAAATGCCAGCACAGCCAGGCTCGCTCAGATTCAACGCCATCAAAATTTTATTCAACCGAACTTACCCAGACTCACAGCTCAATATAAGTAATTCTTTAGCGAATAAAACTTCTACGACAAGAGACAAACCTAATTAGTATTGCAGTTTCGTTATCGCAACCTTGTTATATCAGTTTTTTTTTTGCGCTTAGAAGGCACCATGGACTACAAAATAGCCAATGCACACTGCCCTGTCGGAGTTTTAGCGAGTCGTACAATGATCGAGTTTTCCAACCAATGCCGACGAACACTTTCTGCATACCTGCACGGGTAACTCAGAGCTGCGTAGTACTCCACATAGAACGAGCATTCAAGACACTTTAGAAGTAGCGAACGTGGCAGAATATTAAGGAGTCGCTAATCCACGTTAAAAACAAGGCAGCAGTACTATAGCAGCGACAACTTCGACACAATGTAGAAACGAGATGCCTCCGATGCTATTCATCGTGTTACCTTCCGATATCAGTGTATACGCCTATACGAGAACCGTTGTGCAGCAGCGCGTCTTCCGGCACAACGTTTCCGCAGGTTTCATTGTGCTCTCGGACATGCCACTATCCCCGGTATATAGTACACAGCTGAAATATGCTTACCACCTGCACTCAGACTGACGACCTGTGCTACCAGCACGACCTCGCGATATCATATGCAGTACTTACAGCCGACGTGTCTGATTAAAGGCCGCGATATATCTCGAGAAGTGGAGCGAGCCCTTCTTATCCGTAATGCGAGGTCCAAAGTATACATATCGCACAGTATGACGCAACTGCGGGAGAGGCAGCATACACTTTGCGGAAGACGGCTGCCGGCAATCGAGCTAGGCGGTTCCGGCTGAGGTGAAAGTGTTGTGGAACATGCACTGTATACTTTTCCGTCGTAGCCGGTAACGTTATTTAGACGACGTGCGAGCTATAGGTTGACGAACTCCTGGCACACAGACACGCACTGCGCATATACGTCCAGCTTTAAGCCTTTAATAAGTGTTGTATATTTTATACGGGTGAATATATTTCAGCTAACACGTTTATTTTTCACACACTCAGGATCCGTACACTGAAATCAACGATATGATCACCGCTAAACCCGCACTTCCAGCAATGCGAAATTGCACGTCAAAGTCATCGATTGCTTCACCTTGAAAGGAATTACCCTGCCCGAGTAGTCATTGATTTTCTACTTGCTTCTTTTGGGGGGAAGGCGAAAGCCTTGTATGCCCGATCAACCGCGAAATACGACCGTCGGCGTCAACACGAATGACGCAAGAAAAAAAAAAAAAAACATCGTTGACAACGTCGCCATATGACGTCATGGCGACGTCACACGTCGCGAAAATTAGTGTCCGACATCGTAAAGTCACGTGACGACGTATCACGTGGCATAGTCGCTTCGCCAATCGTGGGCCGATCTCCTGGAGCGCAAAATCGGGTGAGGTGCAGAAGTGTAGGTAAAAGCAGCGCTGCAAAATAGAAAAAAAAAAAACCCTTCACTATACACAGGCAAAGCGCATCTAAGCGTAGTATAGATTTTTTCTGTCCTCAATTTCGCAGCGCTGCCTTTTACCTAGCAGTACATTCTAACTAACCCCTACACAAGCTCTTCTGAGGTGTAAAAAACTATCGGAGAAGGAGGAGAGAGGATCAGTGAATCGACTTCAGAAGATAAAGATGAAGGCATCCTTTCTCCTTCGAGTCACCTTAAGCGGATGCATGAGGGGACACAGCGAGTTTTTACCTTCGGTGGTTCTCAATAAAGCGTCACAAGGTTAGGCGCCCGAGCATCTCAGCGCCTTCTCTTGTATACTCGTCTGCTCGTGCACTTGAAACATCGTTATTTAGCCACGAACAACACTCGTAGTAAATCGAATACCAGTACAGCACCGATTATACCTTTTTGAGAAGGGGAACGGCTATCACATACCTGTTGCATGCACACATCCACTTGGGAAAACAGCCGTAAGCTACAAGCTAAACTCCGACATGCCTCTTCCAGCTAAACCACATCCACACGACATGACGCCAAAAACAGAGGCGCGATCTGCCTACGACGAATTGGCTGCCAGAGATAGCTATAGGATGTTCACTGACATAGAATCGATTCGGAAGACGAAGCTTGAGGTATTCAAAATTTATTGCGTCAGAACTGTCGATTGGGCGGGTTGGAGTGCTTCCATCTTAAACGATTCCATCTTAAACGAACACTATAGAATGACAAAAAACGAAGACGAAAAAGAAAAAAAAAGAAACAGACCGCAGCGCTCAAAATTTATTCTCTCCTTCACCAACGCTTGTAGTTACCATAAGCTGAACTGTTTAATCTATTAACAGCATGGATAAACTCTGTTAACTGGAATCTGATAACTGGATACGTATGCACAATGAGGCTGCGATCGGTCACTAAGCAGATCGATGTGAAGTTCAGCTCTTCATATTGTACAGGCTGCCCCGCTAAATGCCGCCCTCGACTACGCCAGTCCACGTACTGCGCACGTGGCGATGCAATACGAAAAGTAATCGAACAGACATATCGAAATTCCAAGTGTAAATCAAGCTTGCTCGAGACCGGGGGGAGGGGCTTCCACTCCCCCTTTTCCCTCTCGTATCCACACTGGCGCCACCCATGTCAATACGGTCGTCATGCCACGGCTACCTGTGCCTGTATAATGCACTATATATATCTGCCGAGTTCCGACGTAAATCGCGAGCAAACGAGCGAAACCGCTCCACGCATAAATAATCGTCAGCTGTCAAGGCGATTGGCAGTACGTGCGAGATAGTCGCATCGGCACAAAAGCTGTGTTTGCTGGTACGCCAACGCGAACTTCAACAGGACGCCTTACACGTTCGGCAGCAGAATATCAATCCGCAGGAAGCGACACGCTTAAATTCAGAGAATTCTAGGGTAAATTCAGTGCTTAAACTCGGAGGATGCAGGTGCCAGCATCCATATGATTCAACCAGTGCCAGATGACGCTGGCACGGTTGAATGGATCTGTGCACAAAATAAGTTGTGATACAATGCGCAGCCAAAAATAGTGTTCGACGTCTCCTAGTTAATGAACGTCTGCGACAATATTGTAGTAAGGAAAAAAAGATAAAGAAAGCGGAGAACATGCACGCGCTTGAAATAAACTACGGGCCGTTTTTTTTTTTTTTTTGCAGCCTTTAGTATCCATTCAGTGGGCGGCAACCTCTGCATTCATCATTTCCGATGGAGGCGGAAATGGTGTAGGGCCCGTGTGCTCAGATTTGGGTGCACGTTAAAGAACCCCAGGTGGTCGAAATTTCCGGAGCCCTCCACTACGGCGTCTCTCATAATCATATGGTGGTTTTGGGATGTTAAACCCCACATATTATCTAACCTCTGCATTCCTTCTGCAACACCACGACGGGCCTTTTCGCTAACCCATCGGAAGTTTATATACCATGGTAAAATAAATCTGTAGCAAGTAGATTTAATTATAATGATTCGGTCGCCTCCAACAGACGCCTCTATTGCGATGACGCAATGCTATACGGCGTTTGGTTAATCATACCACATGGTTTATCGGAAGGCGCGCATAATTTACTGCGATAAACCATGATGTACTGTTACAAAACACTAAAGCTCGCATGCGCGATTTCTAACAGCGAATCGACGTGCGCAGTGTGCAACTGCCGCTCATTTTGCAAGCTTTTGACGGTTTAGCGTCTAGTGGTCAAAACATCGCTCGGCACAACAACGAACGGATCCCAACGCAACATATGACGCACTCCGTGTAGTAGGACATTACTTTGGATTCGTAAAAGCTTGTGAATCAACCCGCGATTGACGAAAAAAAAATTTGTTCCTGTATCGCGACAGTATGAACGTTAGTGCATTTGTTCCCGTCCGTAAATTCGGCAATCGAACCATACGGGTTGCGCTGGCAGCATTTGCGATCGAGGTGGAATGCTAAAGCCGTGTAGTTAGATTTAAGGGCACGTTAAATAACACGTACTTACCAGGTGGTACAAATTTCCGAGCCCTACTCCGCGGCGTGTTTTCAAATCGTACCATGGTTCTGGGACGTAAGATCGCAACATTATTATTATTATTATTATTATTTATTATTATTATTATTATTATTATTATTATTATTATTATCGGCAGTCAAACCGGGGACTTCTTGTCCAACATTGGAGCAGCACACACTCTTAGAGAAACCGCATAGTGGATGCCGTCTGCCACGGATGAAAGGTTTTCTTCAAAGACCTTTCAAGGCGGTCAGATTAGCGTGAGGCCGGTGCAGCGGCGGCTTTAGCAGCGCGGTTCCTTCAAGCAGGAATGAATGGCGACAAGGAAAAATGAATGGCGATGGTGGCCGCAGCCGCGGAGGATTAAGCACTCACCGGCGGGAACCCGTGGCGTCCGTTGCGTACCTCTGCCGACGTAATAAACACACGCACACACACAAGCAGGACGGGCGTCCGGCGGAGCGCTGCAGCTGGAGCTCCCGTTGTCGAACGGCGTCGTTTCCCGCTATGACTGCAGACGCGCGCCGCACACGTCCACGACGACTCTTTGAACACACACACGACGCGTTGGAGAAGAGAGGCTAAGGTTAGTACTGACGCCCCCTCTCGCATCTGCAGGCACACACGGAACCGTACTAGCCGTGCCAGAGGCTCTAGCGTCGCTGTGGAAAACTTGCCTGCTTGCAACGGCCGCGGTTCGAGTTGGCGGCGGCTTCTTCTTTCTCTTCACCACGTGTTCAGCGCCGCTCGCATGTCATCTTCCTGCTGCACGCGGAACAGCGCACTCCTCTTTTAGGGTGTGTACTGTGCACGACGGGTTCGAACGCCGCTGCCGGCACCGCTTACGCAACAAACCCCGGCGTGTTGGCAAAGATAAGAAAGAAAGAGCGCGACGGGAAAAGGCGGCAGCTGCAGCGGCGGCAGTTCTTCGAACGGGAAAGAACCCCGTTACGCGTCGGCGTGTTAACTTTGCTCCTTTCTATCGCTTTCGTTCATAAGTTGGCGCTCGTGAAGAAGCCGGGAAGAGTGCTTTTTGTCGGGACGGAAATTAAATCATCCACTCTCGGCGTTTACAGCTTTCACTGCCTCGCTTTAATCCCCCCGGGCGGTGTTTTTTTCTTTTTTTTTTCAACGAAAAGGTCGCAAAAGAATCGGAACGGCTCTGCGCAGATGGCAAGTTTCTCGGCAAGGAAGCCGCCTTTTTTTGGTCGGCGCAATTAGATACGCGCGCCGCCACAAGCTGCTTCTTTCAGAAGCCGAGCTCATTTTTCACCAGCATCAGGTTTTTTACGAGCAGAACGTTTCGCGGTCAGTTTTAATTGCTCGGTTCGAGTTGTTAATCGCGGCTCCTTTCGCAGCGCGACTCAATTTATTACTCTCTCTATATAGACACACATCAAAATAGTATACAGTACTTTAGATGTTATAAAAAGAATAAAGCCTCCAAATTGTAGCCCACTGAATGACCTTCGTTATGCGACGTGTACTGAAAGAAAGCAGGCAATCAAAACATAGAGGAGCACAATCATCAAGGTCAAGTAAATTAATAAAATAAAACGGGTCACCCCAAATACGCACGTGAGTCGCGGCCATGACAGACCTTCTTTTGATGTTTATTGAATTGTCTTCAACAATAATTCAGTCTAGGTTTTGGGATCCAGAACCTCGACAGTTATGTGGGGGCGCCGAATAGTCGAGGGCACCGCAAGGTTCCGGTGGTGTTTGACGAGCCCTTAAATGTAGGAACGCCACAACAAATTAACACTGTTATGGATAGGCCCCGACTCGCTCGCCTCTCCGTTTTGCTTGACTTTAATTAGGAACACCAGTCTGCAGTATTTCCCTTCACCGAAATGCGGTTGAAATATTTAATTACTCGCATTGTCATGTATTTCGACGGAGGCCAAATACAGAGCTCCTTTTCGTTAGATTTATGCACACGCTGGAAGAACGCCAGGCAGTCGACCTACATTATATTTGGTCTCTCGTAATCATATCATGGTTTCGGGACATCAAGCCGCAACAAGTATAATATAATAATAATAATAATAATAATAATAATAATAATAATAATAATAATAATAATAGTTGCGGCTTAATATATATATATATATATATATATATATATATATATATATATATATATATATATATATATATATATATATATATATATATATATATATATATATATATATATATATATATATATATATATTGACACGTGCGGTTCTTTTGGTTTACGAAGGAAGACGCTATCACTTTCTGTTAAGCGCAACGCAGGCCGCGTTTATCTTGTATGCCACTCTGGAACGCGTTACGACGCGTGTATAAAAAGCCGGCGCCGTGCGCCACTGGGGGTCTTTTCTTTTTTTTTTTTTCCGTCGGCCGACGACTGTTCACGCCGCTGTTGCTATGAGTTGTGTTTGGCCCCGTTTTGCTGGGCACAAGTTCGCCCAATAAACAGTTCGCCTGACACCGCCCTGACTCCTGCGTGCTTCCTCTCAAGTGCTGCGTGTATCACAACCTCGTGACATCTGGTGGAGGTGCTTCTCGGTCCATGTACCGTACGCCCCCGTCCAGCCGTGAGCCAAGCCCAAGCCGGCAAGAGGGACGACGCCGACCCGGTCGTTCGAGTGAGCCGAAGACAACAAGGACTACCGCCCGAATACCTGCCGCTCCCCGACAAGGACAAGAAAACAAAGGCTGCTACGAAGCCGGCATCCACGATGACGGAAGCAAGGTCTTCGGCAACCGTGGTCGTCAACCAGCCCAAAGAGCCGCCTACCTTCCGCGGATCGACCTACGAAGACCCGGAAAGCTGGCTTGACATTTACGACCGCGTCGCAGCCCTCAATAAGTGGGACCCGGACGACAAGCTGCGTCATGTGTATTTTTACCTGGAAGACGCCGCAAGGACTTGGTTCGAGAACCGCGAGTCAACGCTTCGAACCTGGGACGACTTCCGCGTTGCTTTCCTGCGCACCTTTGCAAGCGTCGTGCGAAAGGAAAGAGCCGCAGCACTGCTTGAAACTCGGGTGCAGCTCCCCAACGAAAACGTAACGATCTTCACGGAGGAGATGACGCGACTTTTCCGCCACGCCGACGCCGACATGTCTGAGGACAAGAAGGTTCGCCTGCTTATGCGAGGAGTGAAGCAGGAGCTCTTCGCCGGACTGATCAGAACCCCGCCAAAGACGGTACAAGAGTTCCTCTCCGAGGCTACCACCATCGAGAAGACTCTTGAAATGCGGACCAGCCAATACGATCGGCGCATGTCGCCAGACGTCGCAGAAGTCCGAGGACTCTGCCCCGACGACCTGCGCGAGACCATACGCGCTATTGTTCGTGAAGAACTGCGCCGCATGTTGCCATCGTCTCAGCCCCAAGTCGCCTCTCTCGAAGACGTAGTCCGCGAGGAACTACAGCGCTCACTGAGCGTTCCTGAACGGCCACAGCCCCAACCGGAGGCGATGACCTACGCCGCTACTGCACGACGACCTGTCGCCGCTCCTCGCCAACACCAGGACCCAACGTCTCCGCAGTTTCGTCGCCAGCCACCGCCGCCACACCCAACGCCTTCCCGCTCGCCAGTAATCCAGCGCTCGCCGAGGAAAACTGACGTTTGGCGCACCCCGAACCACCGCCCACTATGCTACCACTGCGGCGAAGCCGGGCACACCTACCGCTACTGCCAGTACCGTGAGATGGGACTGCGTGGCTTCGACGTGAACGCGCCGCGTCCGCGCCCAGGTGAGCGACCTCGCGACATCGCCGCCTACATCGCCGGATCGCAGTGGCAACAACGACGACCATCCCGTTCACCTTCGCCTGGCCGCTACGTCTCCCCGGATCGCCGCCAGTACACCGGCCCTAACCGGGGCCGATCCCCAAGCCCCTACCCGGGAAACTAAAGGCAGCAACCGATGGAGGTGCGGTTGCTGCACGACGCAATGCCGAAGATCCTCCTCCGCCGCCGCCGCCGCTGCCGATGACGACGACCACGACGCACGAACTTTCCCGACGTAGTCGCAGTACGCCGCCTGAGCAGAGTCTTTACGACAAAGCCTCGCCGCCGACGCGACATAGCAGCACCGGACCAAGCCGACGCAGCCGTGATCCGACGCCCCGACTTAACCGGAACGCCAGACGACGAACCACCGACCTCGACGTGATCATCGACGGCCACAGCGTCACCGCCCTAGTCGATACCGGCGCCGACTACTCTATCATCAGTGGTCTCTTCGCCGCTAAGCTCAAGAAGGTAAAGACTGCATGGGAAGGACCGGATATCCGAACAGCAGGGGGCCACCTTATAACACCGACTGGAACCTGCACGGCAAGAGTCACGATTCACAGCCAGACGTATTCTGTGAATTTTGTGGTCCTGCAGCAATGCTCGCGAGACGTCATTTTAGGCATGGATTTCCTGGACCAGCAAGGCGCAGTAATCGACCTAAGATCCAGGTCAATCACGCTGTCCACGGATAATGCAACGGCGTCAGACTGCAACGTCGCTCACAATGCCTTGAATGTGACAGAAGAGCAGGTAACCATCCCGCCACTGTCGAGCGTCATCATTTCCGTCGGCACCAAAGCGTCTACCAACTTACAAGGTGTCATCGAAGGCGACCAGCACCTGCTCCTAAACCGTCAGATGTGCGTCGCAAGAGGCATAGCCAAGCTTCATAACGGCGAAGCCAAGGTAATGGTGACGAACGTCAGCAACGAATATAGGCACTTAAATAGGGGCACGACGGTAGCACATCTAAGCGAATTTGTGGAAGCGAGCAATGCCTTCGCCCTCACTGATTCTCAGGGAGCCGCAACGTCGACAGCAGTGTCCGCGCCCGCCTTCGACGTCAATCAAAGCCTTTCCAGGCAGCAACAAAAGGAGCTCAAAGCCTTACTCCACCAATACAAGGACTGCTTCTCGTCGTCGTCGAGGCTTCGTCAGACCCCTCTCGCGAAACATCGCGTCATAACCGACGAATATGCCCGTCCGCTCCGTCAGAGCCCCTACCGAGTTTCTGCACGGGAACGCGAGGCCATCAAGCAACAAGTCGACGAAATGCTGCGTGACGACATCATTCAGCCGTCTACGAGTCCGTGGGCATCACCCGTGGTGTTGGTGAAGAAGAAGGACGGAACGCTACGTTTTTGCGTCGATTATCGTCGCCTGAACAACATCACGAAGAAAGACGTGTATCCCCTCCCACGGATAGACGATGCTCTGGACAGACTCTACAACGCCAAGTATTTTTCGTCGATGGATCTCAAAACCGGCTACTGGCAAATCGAAGTAGACGAGAGAGACCGAGAGAAGACTGCCTTCATAACACCAGACGGCCTATTCGAGTTTAAGGTCATGCCCTTTGGTCTTTGCTCGGCGCCTGCGACGTTCCAACGGGTTATGGACACAGTACTCGCAGGCTTGAAGTGGCAGACTTGCCTCGTCTACTTGGACGACGTAGTCGTGTTTTCTTCCAACTTCGACGAGCACCTCCGGCGCCTTGAAGCTGTTCTTCGGGTAATCAAAGCCTCGGGACTTACCCTGAAGCCAGAAAAGTGCCGCTTCGCCTACGAGGAACTATTGTTCCTTGGCCACGTTATCAGCAAGTCGGGAGTGCTCCCTGATCCACAGAAAACAGCTGCGACCGCCGACTTTCCTGCACCCACCGACAAGAAAGCAGTACGCCGATTTCTTGGCCTCTGCGCTTATTACAGGCGCTTCGTGAAGAACTTTTCGCGGATCGCCGAGTCACTGACGTACCTCACGAAGGCCGACGTCGACTTCAAATGGGAAACGCCGCAAGTCGAGGCATTTCAAGAATTAAAGCGACGCCTGCAAACGCCGCCAATACTGGCGCACTTCGACGAAGAAGCTGACACCGAAATTCACA